ATACTCTTTTTTTGAACTTGTGATGGATGACACTTGATGTTAATACAGTTTTTTTCAAATATTAATTCATTATCTAAATTTAATTAATTAATTTTAGTTTTTTTTAGATTTAAGTTGCATATATCTACCAATAGATGGCGCCAGATAAACTTTAAAAAAATGAATGAAAATTATTTATAAAGGATTTTTTTTGCAATATAGTGAAAAAGTAGGAGTTGACTTAAAAAAAAAATTTTTTTTTTTTTTTTATATTACTTGTTTTTAATATTCTTAAGAATGAGAAAATTTTCAAGTTTTCTATCAAAAATGTTTTGGAAAAAAAAAATAAATTATTAGAAAATTATGCATTTATAATTTATTTTTGAATCATTGAAAAATATAATTTTCATGATAATGGTACTAACGGTTCTGGAGTGTAGAAGGGGTCCGAACTGTGGCGTATATATTGAGTGCAGTGGAAAACTCGAAAGGCCAACCCTGCCAAAAAATCTCGAGAAGACAAATAACCAGCGACAGGTCGGAGCTGAAACCCAGTGCGTTCTAAAATGACAGAATAAAATGATTAATTTAAAAATGAAATAAATAAATAAATAATAACCATGATTTAAAAAAAACTTTTATTGTAGTATTTCGTATATCCATTAAAAAATATGTAAACATTAAGCTCAATATGCTCTTGACATGCAATATTATGTGAATTAAAAATGAAACAAAGATCTGGTACAAAAAAGAAGTGTCGTATTCTGTTGATTGCAGCATAATTTAGAGAATAATATTTTATAAAAAAAGAATATGTAAGTAAACATTAAAGTCATTAGGTTCCTGAAAAATGTCATATGATTAAAATAATCTATGAAATCAAATTATTAGGTTTCATTAAATAAAAAAAAAACCTAATCGACTTTTTTATTCTTTAGAGAAAGATAATTGATAAAATAACAGTTAATCAATCTTAACTAATAAAAATGTTTTAGGTAAATAATTTAACTTTCGAAAATAAATGAAACAAATCAATTTTCTAAAAAATTCAAAATAAAAGGATTAATTCGAAGTTAATTAATTAATTTAATTTGTGACTTCTATCGTTAGAAGGATTTTCATTTAGATTTCATATCTTTACTTAAGCTTTGTTTATTTTATATCCTTTCCAGGGCTTAATGGACGAGTGACTGGCCCTCTGGGACACAGGTTTCGGGTTCGAGTCGCGGTGGGGCCATGGATATTTGTAGTAGTTTGGAATCCATTTTAAGCTGTAGCTCCAGGTCTAATATAACTGCAGAGCGTAGGGCTACCCGTAAAAAGTCAGCGTCAAAGAGCCAAGTCAGACTTCTACCTACGGGTGCGCCATCACAACAGGAGTTGCTGTTGCAGGAGGGATGTCACAATGGAGGATGATGTGTTATCACACGGGTTTGTACTTGGTCTAGATGTTTCTGTCAACCAAATTAGATAAGAAACAACATATCCCTTTTATTAAAATTTTAATTTTACCATTTTCGGAATTATTTGATTTATAATAGATGGTACGGCAGTAAATTTGTTTCTTCAATTTCTTTTTCATCCGATAATTTTTGTATACCTTTATTTATATAAAATTTCGGCTCTCCCTAAAGTGCATTAAAGCAAAATTTTGTTGTAATAATATCATATGATAGGAAACAGATGCATTAAAACCATATAATAAGCAAATCCCGTCAATATAATATTCTTACAAAATTATTTCAAGTAACCCGTTTCATAAATTTAACACAATTATAATAATAATTACGTTAAATAAGTAAATAAACATCAACTTACGCCTAAGAAATCTGCTTACATCTTCTAGTTGAGGAATGTTATTCTTACTGAAAAAAATTTGATTTGATTTGACCAATTTTTAAAAAATAAAATTTATAGTGCTTTTCATACAAAACAATTTTTTTTTAATAAAATTTACTTATAAAATTTTAATTAACTTACCGATAACCACAAAATTTAATGAGAAGATTGAAATTTTCCAAAATTCCTTGCAAGCATGAGTTGGATACAGTTTTTGAGATGGGTAAAAACGGTTCCCCTGAAAATATAACGACATATCGTTAAAGATGATTTATAATAAGTTACATAATTTTTAACAATTAACTTTTAATAAATCTATTTACGTTTTAATTAAATTTTAAGTTTATATTAATAAAATTATTAATATAAACTTATTTTATTCACATATTCTCATTCTCAAAGATGCTATTTTGAAATTTTAAATTTAACAAAGCAATGCAAATGGCAGGAAACCTTGCGCAAACTTTTCTATAACTCATTAACTTTTAATCTTATTTAATAGTCTTTTTCAACAAAGGTGCATATTTCATTAATTTTTGTATATCTCATTATTTAAAGATTATAATCTGAGAGATGTGCTGGACTTTTGCCTAAGTTGTTTACTGCTGAGTTTTCTGTTATCTGAGTTCTTCCCTGTCTGAATCAAAAACTCTTTTTAACATTTTTTAATTAGTTCTTTACAATTAGTTGAAATTGCAAAAGTAGTACAAAATAATTTGAAGTAATGATGAGCCATTTCGAAAATTATTTACTTAATTGCATAAGTTTTGTTGTTGAAAATAATAATAATCATCATCAGGGCGCAGCGACCCCATGGTTGGCCAAGGTCGTCTTCCCTACTGGCAGATCTCGAGACAGAACATGTTTTTCTTTTTTACTTGGTGAGTTGTCAGCCCTACGCTCTATTAGACCAGACCCTATGGTTTAAAGGGGATTACTAACCACTACAATCATCCATGGACCGCCAGGAGTCGAATCTGAAACCGAGAGTCAGAGAGCTAGCCACTCAGCCATCAGAAAGAAAGTCAAAGAGTCAACAAATTTTTGAAGAGTTCCTCTATTGAAGAGTAACTCGATGAAAATCAAACGTAAAGATATTGTCAAGAATTGGGCTATGTACTTTATCTTGAGGGCTGTCAGCTTTTATTTGATTAACATGAGAGTAGAAATCCGCTGTAGATTGTATGTATGAGATAATTTAAGTATATTTAAGTTGAATAATTTTGTAGACATCGTCATGCAATAATCGATCAAAAGCTTTTGACATATCATGAAAATGCCGCCAGTTAATATGTATACAAAATGATGCAGCCTTGACTCTATTACATTCTTTATAATTTAGTTCTAAATACATATACTTTATGGCCAATTTGTATATAAATTAGTTTATTTTATATTTTTTTACATAAATTTTGATCTATTCACAATTATTATACCTAAGAAAATTGTATATAATTTATTTTATACATAAAAAACATTTCTCTTACCATGTCTGGATTTCTTCCGGTGTATACTGAACGTAAGGTATAGGTTGACCACTGTATAAATCATAAAACATAAGCCATCACATTTTCTATAATTTAGAATCTAAATCTATCTACTAAAACTATTTAATTCATCTATATTAATGAATGCAAATTAGAATTACACTTTTAGAATTACAAATTAATAGGAAATAGATTAAAAAAATTTTACAAAAAAATATTAAGGTCTTCTTTTTTTTAAATAATATTAAAAAGGTGGCTATAAAAATATGATAAATTTATTAAAGGTACATTTATGCGAGCAATATTTTGAAAACATGATATAACTTACTGTTTATAATCAAATGCTATGTCCGTAAAATGCTTGCGTCTTTTTCTGTATGTTTCATCTTTAAATCCCTAGTGTAAGTAGCATAATTTTTGTTAAACACATTTAAAATAATGATAAATATAATGCTTTAAATACAAAGGAAAATTTAAAATATATATATTAGAGGTTTATTGAAATTTGTTTGGGTGATGGAATGTTAGCTGAAAGAAAATATAATTATATTGATAAATTTTAAAAGATTATTTAAAAATTGTAATTTTTCATAGAATGGAAATAATTAGAATTTGAAGATATTTACTAATAACAAAGCTTTTTTTCTTTGATAGACACGTTTAATTGAATATGCAGATAAAAAATTGCTCATACACAAAATATAAACAAAAGATAGAGATAATATTAATTTTTGAAAACTATCTAAAATGGAAGGACTAATATAAAATAAACCTAAAAACCTATGCATTTTTTAAAGTTCAGAAATATTAGAGAGAATCTGTTTGCTTTCAAACATTTTTTTATCTTCTTTTATTGAAGAGTATGTATTTTTGTGCTTTTATTTTATCATATTATCGTCACTATTAAATAATGTTCAACGATGTGCACAAATGTATAGGGAAAGCAATTTTTTTTTTTTTTTTTTTGTGCTCATTATAAATTTCATAGTCTCTATAAGTACACTATTGACCATTAAAATTGCTACACCAGGAAGAAATGTAGATAACAAAATGATATTTATTGGACAAATATATTATACTTTAAATAACAAGTGATTAAAATTTCAAGTCCTGCTGAGAGTCCATGCTGCTGCAAACGTCATCGAACTGTTGGTGCAGACACTTGTTGTCTTACAAACGACCATGATTCTTGACTCAGGGCTCGTCACGGGGCTGCACGATCCATTAAGATAAATTTTATGTCCATTAAGGCCATAAAATCCATTAATCCATGGTAACATGTCTGTTTTCTCGGCTGCGAGTGATAGGGGGCCGTGAGATCCAACACATCGTTCCGTATTACCGTCCTGAACCCATCGATTTCATATTCTGCTAACAGGCATTGGAACTCGCGACACAGCAGCAATACTGCGATACGATAAACCACAATCCCGGTAGCTACAATTCGACCTTTATCAAAGTCAGAAACGTGCTGGTACGCATTTCTGCTTCTTATAAAGGCATCACAAAAACTTTTCACCAGGCAACAAAGTTCAAATTCAATTTGTGTATGAGAAACCGGCAGAACAATTTCCTCATTTAAAACACATCGTAGGTCGTCGGTAGCAACACCTACCGGCGCCTGCTTTGTCTGAATGCGCTGAAAAGCTAATTATTTTCATATAACATATAATCTTCTTATATATTATATAGCCAACGACCATACCATGCTTAATATACCGGTTCTCGTTAGATCACCGAAGTCAAGCACCATTGGGCGCCGGTCAGTACTCCAGGTGGGTGACCAGCTGGGAACGCCTGCGTGCCGTTGGCATTCACAAATTTGGGACCTGAATGGCCGAGTGTCTAGCGCTCTGGCGCTCGGTGCCACAGGTTTCGGGTTCGAATCTCCCGGCGGGGCCATGGATGTTTGTAGTGGTTCGGAAATCCCCTTTAAGCCGTAGGTCCCGGTCTCCTATGACTGTAAGAGCGTCACGGAGCCAAAGTCAGACTTCTACCTACGGGTGCTCCATCACAACAGAAGCTGCTTCCTTCCCCTTCAATCATGAGTACGTGTGGGCTGGGCCAGCCAAGTGGGATAAGAAAAACAACAAACAACAAACATTTATTATATGAATATTTAATATATAAGAAGATGAAACAAGACAAAGTTGTGACAGGAAGAAGGTTATATATTTTCATATAACCTTCTTCCTGTAGTTTAAATTTCACGTTTGTAGCATGTCGACTTCGGTGTGTAGCAATTTTAATGGCCAGTAAGTTATTTCGAACTATAATATATATTCGCTTTGTTTTTCTGACACCTAGCATTTATAATTTTGGATACCTTAAACTACGATCTACTTAAACGAGAATAAAAAGAAAAATCCCTGAATTTACATGAAATGTGTACCATAAAACTTTGAAATTGCATAAGAGAAAAACACCTCGTATTTTAACAGAATAAATATCTATGTTTCTGTAATATATCTATATTCAATATAAAATCAATATATTTCAAACAATAAAAAAAATATTACATTAATTAAAATATCAGTATAAGACAACAGTTTGACAAATATTTTATGAGTTTAATTTTTAACTCACCGGATGATCAGCATCCAGTTCAGTTCCATACATGAGAACTCTCTTTGCTGATTTATCCAAATCCGACATTTTCCTTGGGAACCAAGGCATACCATCAAAAGCTATCATGTAAAAAGTGGAAGAAAAACTACAGTCATGATGGAGCTCTAAATAACATATTATCACGTTCTTTTAATTTTTATTGAATTGAAATTACAAATATACGAGTGTAAGGTGAAACGTTCCCGGCCTGACAGTGAAAGACTGCGACTTTCAGTTAAAAAATGATTTTATTTTTCTACATAATCTCCCTTGACTTCAAGACACTTAGTCCAACGTTTCTCCAACATCAGTATTCCTTCCCGGAAGTGAGAGTCTGGAAGGTTGTGAAAATTGTTAAAGCTCGTTAAAGAAGGTTGTTAAAGCTTGCAAGGTTGTGAAAATTGTTAAAGCTCGCAAGGTTGTGAAAATTGTTAAAGCTCGTTAAAGAAGGTTGTTAAAGCTCGCAAGGTTGTGAAAATATTCATCTACGGTCCTCTCAACTTCTTCATTGGATGCGAAGCGCTTCCCAGAAACAAATTTCTTCAAATTTGGGAACAAATGAAAGTCTGAGGGTGCCAAATCAGGAGAATAGGGAGGATGGCCAAGCAAATCGTACACCAAATCCCGCAGTTTTCCCATCGCCAACGCACCCTTGTGCACAGGTGAATTTTGGCATCCAGCTTGTCAGGAAGGTTGGAGTAATATTCGTCTGTAATTGTTAGTGCCTTTTGCAATTTAATCAATTAATAGGATCTCATTCGCATCCTAAAACACGCTGGCCATGATCTTTCCGGCAGATTCGAACGACTTCGCTTTCTTTGGCGCTGAACCACAGGCTTCCACTCATTGCTGGGACTACTGTTTTGTTTCTGGCGTTTAGTGGTGGATCCATAGTGAAAATCGCCGCACAAAATCGGTTGGATCCCTATTGAATTGGTCAAAATATTGCTGTGATCGTTTGAGCATTTGCTTTTAATCGGCATTCAGCAAATGCGGCACACATTTTGCGCAGAGCTTTCGCATCCCTAATTCTTCGTGCAAGATATTTCGCACCCTTTCTTCCGATATCCCCATAGCCTCAGCTATCTCACTCACCTTCACTTGCCTATCGTCCAACATGATATCATGTACTTTTTCAATAGTTTTTCGGTGTGGTTGCGCTTTTTGGCCGTCCTTCACGTGGATCATCTTCGAATGATGTGCGACCATGTTTAAATTCAGCTGCCCACGTTTTAATGGTTGACATGAAAGGAGAAGAGTCCCCATAAACTTTTGTCAACTTCGATGAATTTACTTAGGGGTTAATCCATCCAAAATGAAAAATTTTATAACCGCATGATATTCAAGTTTATCCATTTTAACTAAAGACGTCTAATGCCAAATTTCGTGTAAACAAACTAATTGAGAGAACAAGTTGAAACTTGTCATACGAACTAATGACACGTGCAACTAGGCAGGAAACATAAATTTTTGGTGATTGGAGCGCCATCTCTGTGCCAGGCCGAGAACTTTTCACCTTATCCTCGTATATATCAATCCTGCATGAAAGCTGACAATTTTCAAATCGTATAGTTAATTACTCAATATAATTACCATTATCTAATTTTAAAAAAATGAAACGAAATTACTTTCTTAAACGAGTAAGAATCCACAGAGACAAAATCCACTCACCATCAACTGTATACATAGCTGAATTGAAGGATATGTGTTTCATTTTTGGTGAAAAAAGGCATGAAGAATGAATGCAGTGTGAGATGGCGCATTCAGTGTTTTCGGTAGCAATCGAGATTTGATGCGTTTGAGGCCCAAAATGGAATTGACCGATCCTTTTGAAATTCCAACATCATTAGAAAGGTCTCAAATTGTAAATCGACGATTTGCAAGCGTACGACGCGACTGTACGACGCGATTGTAGCGACGATTTGCACTTGAACTGATGAAGCTCACGTCCAAAAAAATTAAAGATTTGAATTTTTTGGACGTGAGCTGGCGCATTCAGTGTTTTCGTACCAATCGAGATTTGATGGACGACCCACTGGTCGTCCATCAACTTGAACTGATGAATGACTCTCCGTCTTCAACGAGTTCTCTGCTTTATTTGAACTGTTTATACCACTAGTAAAAATTTCTTTTCGATATAGGAATGCTCACCGAATGTCTTCTGCAACATTATATACGTTTCCACAAGCAAAATTTAATGCAAGTTCTTTGCTAAATTAATTCAGATATTTCAAAAATCGCCGTACTCTGTTTTAACGTCTCACGAAGCCAAGCATATTAGTAACTCAAACATTAATGAATATTTTGACGTCAAATTTCACACAGATGTCAAGGGCAGTGCCAGTAAAAAAAAAGAAAAGAAATTGAAATTCCATACTCTCCGGGAATTTTAAATTGAAAATGGTTCTTACTTTTGGTCACAGTAGTCATGTATACTGTGAAACTATAATCACAAAATAAAGTAACTAATGATTAAAAAGCATTACAATATTATTTTGTTGCATTAAATCTGTTACATGAATAGCAAATAAAGATATGAACACATATTTTCCTTAACTATTCAAGAAGTAAAACACTAAAAATTATATACCATCTTAATAAGAGAATTCTTCAATAAGAATGCTTCTTTGTTTCCAATCAGAATGCTACACTTACCGAGTTCCAGTCCAGGACTAGTGGGTGTTGGTGGTGGGTGATCTGAGATCTGTACCTCCCCCTTTTCGAATTGCTCCAGAGACACACATTCCACCTCATGTTCCAGATTATGCAGGAGATCGTTGATTTGGTTCTGTTCGCATTGTACATCCACGTAAATTTCATACTGGGATGGCCTCTGGCGGGATTTTCTAGACTCAATGTGCTGGACATTCACATTATTTTCCTGAAAGAAAAGTTTTAGGATTAAAAATTGTAAAACAGACTTAATAAATTAAATAGCTTCAGGAGCCTCACAATGACTTAAATCATCGATTTTTTATTTCATTTACCATAGAACTTTCTTCATAAAATCTGAATTCCAACATTGTATAATGTTCATTTATACACTCTCCCTATATATGTATCTTGTTCAAATTTTCAGTCGTTCATAAAATACTTTTTATTCATCCACTCAAGTTCAAATACATTTTTTAACTTGTAGTGGATGACACTTGATGTTAATACAGTTTTTTCAAATATTAATTCAGTAATTAAATTTAACTAATTAATTAAAATTTTTTTTAGATTTAAGTTGCATATATCTACCAATAGATGGCGCCAGATAAACTTAAAAAATGAATGAAAATTATTTATAAAGGACTTTCTGTAATATAGGGGAAAAAAGTAGGAATTGATTAAAAAAAATTTTTTTTTTTTTATATTACTTGTTCACTATATGGTAACTTTTAATCCTCAAACTTTACTTTTCTCTCTGGCCACTTTACAATGAAATCCCGAATTTAACATTAATCTCTAATGCAGCGGCCAATGGGGATGGAACCTCTCCAATGGAGCCACCTAAAATTTGTGCCTGCTGTTTCCTCCACAAACTCATTAGAGAGTGATACGTCGTGCACATCACTGTCGAACTTCTGATCGAAACGTCGGCAGAATGTCTTCAAAGTTTATATTTCCAGAAATTTCAGACAGTTTTTAGCCTTGTTTCATCTACATATCCAATGATGTTAAACGGCAGCAAGTCCACTAATCTGCTGATGTACAATTTTTCCAGATTCTAAAAGTACACTATGGATTCATAATTTTTTAGCCATCTTTAATATATACTGGTTTCCGAAAATTAAGAAAATATGAAAGAATTCTCCTTCGTGAAAACTTCAGTGCTCATTTGATCTAGTTGCCAGCTTTCCAGTGGCATTTGACCACTGGAAATTTTGGATCAGCACAACTTGGATCTTGCGCAGCTAACTGAAGTTCGAATTCACTGGTGGTATTGCTGTAGTCTTCTCTTTCTGAAATGATAAGACTCGATTACGAATGTCTTCAAAGTTTATATTTCCAGAAATTGCAGACAGTTTTTAATCTTGTTTCATCTACATATCCAATGATGTTAAACGGCAGCAAGTCCACTAATCTGCTGATGTACAATTTTTCCAGATTCTAAAAGTACACTATGGATTCATAATTTTTTAGCCATCTTTAATATATACTGGTTTCCGAAAATTAAGAAAAATATGAAAGAATTCTCCTTCGTGAAAACTTCAGT